AATTCTGGGAGTTGAAGTCCATACATCTTAAAGTTGCCAAAGTTGAGAAACACTGGTTTAGAGTATGTGTGAACCAGGCCACTGTGGTATCAAGTCAAGAGTGTTGTACTTCAACCAGTAAGACCTGAATTCAAATCTTTACAGAGCATACTGGGGTTTTTTGACTGGCTATTTTCAAACTGGGTAGCTTCACATACTACATTAAACATGGTTTGCTTAACCACCAGTTGTTGAATAAGTTTTCCTTGTGTGGGTTCATTCAACACACTAACCAAGGAATAGGCAACTTTTTTTTTCCAGCTAGAGGCCACACCTGATTTAAAGGCTTCTAAGAGCAATAGAGGAGATAGCAGTGATGTCTTAGAGAAGGCAGGTCTCCCATTTTTGGCCTGGATTTTGGGATGAAGTCAAAAAGTGTGTTAAATTTAGTAGAGGCATAATGTGCTGTTTTGCTTATTTCAATAATGAAAGTCTTCAAAATTGTATAGTTGAGTTGTTGCACTTTGCCACTGAATGTACTCAAATTATGTCCGCCACCATAAGCCAGACCAAACCAACAATATGTTAGCTCGAAACAATATGTAAACAAAGTCATTCACTTTTTCTGCCTAACTTGATTTGTACTATAAAGGTAAGAAATAGGAGAATTGTGTGTGCAACTCTGAACTTCTCCGTGACAGGCTGATATGAAAATGAGGGGTTATTTTAGGTAAAAAAAATATTGTATATCTGCATAAGAAGAGCCCTTAATGCAGCTCATGAATATCCTTGCCATCCCACTGTCTGTCCATTGTATAATACTTATATACCACCCAGTTCATATGGCTCTGGGTGGTTTACAGAATTAAGGTATGCAGAAATCAGTCACTTCATGCCAAATTATTATCTTGCTAGTGAAACATAGCAAAGATACACAAATATTGCCAGTTACCTTCACAAAACTGTTCACAGCCATGATGGCCATATCTGGCTGACTTTTGGCATAGTTCATCAAGTAGAGATACACCAGCTTCTTTAACTCCAAGTTATCTGTCTGCATGCAGTTCACCACATCAGGGAAGAGGGAACTGGACAAGAAAGACAGCCAGGTTAAAGCAGTAATTTCTAGACTGACTGCAGTGGTTAATGTGCAGAAGTCAGACAGAGAGATCCAGGTTTAAGTCCCCACTTGATTACAGAACTCCTGGGGGCCTAAGACTCCCTCAGCCCGACTTAATGCCTATACTATGCATAGTATTACTATAGAGATAAAATAAGGGGAAACTGCCCATCTATACTGCCTTGATCTTGCTAAGACAAGCCATCATCATCTGACAGCAACTCTCTAAGGTTTCAGGTAAAACCATTTTCACTCTGCTTCCAGGAGTCTTCAAACAGGAGGTACTTGGAAATGAATTTGGGGTCTTCTGCATGCAAAACATGGACTGTATTACAGTCCCTAGAATCTAAAGCAGTGTTTCTCAATCTTAGCAGCTTTAAGAGTCACCCGCTGGGGGAGATGGGCGGCATACAAATTTAATAAATAAATACATACATAAACTCCCAG